TGTGTTACTCGGGACGCTAAGGATGCTATTTGGGAGGGAAAAAAAGGGTTAAGGTGACCCTATCATTTCAGGGAGCCAACACACACATAGGTATAAACAGGTAACAGCAGAAATATAAGTTTGTTTATTTCTTGTGTTTTATTTTAAAAAAAAAATCTTTAAAGACAAAAGTTAGCATGTCTCCATCTTCCTCCTAAGATGGACGTTTTTAATTCATTTCTCTTCAGAAACAGTTTTTCTCAGTTACAATGGTTTATTAAAAAGTACCATATTTTTTGGAGTATAAGACGCACTGGAGTATAAGACGCACCAAGATTTTGAAGAGGCAAATTTAAAAAAAAGGTTTTTGCACTCTGCAGACCTCCCAAAAATGGCCTGTTTTTCATGAAAACGGGCTCGTTTTTTGTTTTTTAAAAAAGGGAATGCCTAGCCTTTAGGAGGCTTATAGAGTACTCCCGGGAGCTGGGGGGGTGGGACAAAAACGAGCAAAAAAAGGCCCGTTTTTCCCTCATTTCTGTCCTCTCCAGCCCCCAGGAGCATTCTGGAAGCCTCCTAAAGGCTATGCACGGTCATTTTGGTGAAGGGGACGTCTTATACACTGAATAAATGCTGTATTCAGTGTATAAGACACACCCAGATTTTCACCCTTTTTTGAGGGAAAAACGTGCATCTTATACTCCAAAATATATGGTGAATCGAATTCAGTTTATACACTGGAAGACAGTGAACAATGAACTGTAATATCTAATCTACAAATAAATTTGCTAAGCAATAAAAATGGAGAGATGCTTCAGAGTTTGTGGGTATAAGTACAATTAACAGCAACCTGAAAAGGCCTATGCTTCAGGCCTTATTTATAATGTAAATGGAGCCAGCTACTTGGCTAATTTCATGCCAAGAAGGACTGTTACTAAATTTAGCATGATAATACCTTTTGGATCTTTTGAAAACAAGTATTTGAAAGCATTTAAAAGTAGCCTCATAATGCAGCACTCATTTTGCAAAGTTTCTATTGATTTAACGGGTCTTAACTCCCGAGGAAAGCAGCAGTGTATCTCCAAGGAAGCATGAAGTTAAGAGAGAAAAGCATTGAGCAGTTCAACACCTATCATAATACAATTAGAATCATAAAATTGGAAGGAACTTTGGAAGTCTTCAGGGGTCTTCAACCTTGGCAAATTTAAGCCTGGAGGACTTCAACTCCCAGAATTCCTCAGCCAGCTTTGTTGGAACTCTGGGAGTTGAAGCCCATAAGTCTTAAAGTTGCCAAGGTTGGAGACCACTGGACTAGTCTGTTCTGCCAAAGGCAAGAGACCTTATATCAGTCTGGACAAACAATCTTTTCTTGAAAACCTCCAGCAATGGAGCAGTCACAACTCCAGGAGGCAATGCCATTGGTTAATTGCACTCACTGCCAGGAAATTTCTCCTTAGTTGATGGTAGGATCTCTCTTTAATGAGCTTCCAACTTTTGATTCTTATAAGAGAATAAAAAGAAATTGAAGAAACCAGACTTTAAGGAGAATTTTATATGGACGAAACACTGCTTGTTAAATACGTTGTTCATATATCAGGATAGTTTTCAGTGTACGGGAATATATGCTGATGTACTGAAGGACAGCACTAAATCGCAAGTCATTAACAAACCTTTGAGGCCCTGTATGGTACAAGGCATTTATATCAGAAACACATTGTGTTATGAAAGTTAAGCAATCACTTAAACTTTAATGAGCCACAAATTAATTGGGAAAAACTTATTCACCAGAGATATCGTTAAATTATGCTTGGCCAGCCCTCTAAACTCTAATATGTTAAGTAGGATACTCCTGGCATAATTTCTACATATTGGCAATATCTGGAATAATAACAGGAGTTACAGAAATCTGCACTTATATGACTGCAGGGCAGCCCCTCATAGAAAAGTGATTTAGGACATATGGTCCAATTCCCAAGCACCAGAGAGACCTTAATATTAATGCACTAGAGGTAGTCCTCAACTTACGACCACAATTGAACCCAAGATTTCTGTTCTTAACTGAGACATTTGTTGAGTTTTGCCCCATTTTATGACCTTTCTTGCCCTAGTTTTTAAGTGAATCACTGCACTTGTTAAGTTAGTAACATGGTTGTTAAGTGAATGTGGCTTCCCCAGAATACCACTTCCCCTTAGAAGGTTACCGAAGGTGATCACATGACCCTGGGACACTGCAACCGTCATAAATACGAACCAGTTGCCAAGCATCTGGTTTCCGATCACAGGACACGGAGATGCTGCAATTGTTGTCAGTGTGAAAAACAGTCGTAAGTCATTTTTTTTCCATGCCATTGTAACTTTCAACAGTCACTAAATGAATTGTTGTAAGACAAGGACTACCTGCATTAAAATCCTCAGTTCTATTTATTAATATACGTATGCGCTGACTAATAGTCCTTTCGAATTCATGAAGCTAGATAATTGAATGTAAGTCTATTCCTTGTTTATGAAATGTTAATAAAAGGAAACCAAAAACACCTTGAAAAAAGAACACACACGTACACACATTGTCAACTCCTAAAGTTGCCATAGTGAGGAAATGGGGGGGGTCGCATTCCACACGTACTTTTGGCTAGAGTCGGATCTCAGATTACCGCAACAGACTTGGGAGGGGTGCACCTCATTGGGGAATGTGATTTATGACACAGACTGACGGGAGGGAAAAGGGGGTAAAGTTCAGCTGCAAATCAAAATAAGGCTAAGATCTGACTTCACAAACAAGGCATTGCCAAAATGCTCCTAATGAATGACTGGTTTTCTTTTGAAATTTGACTTGAGACTCATGAATCAATTAGGGCATTTCTTGGAAACCTGACACATATATTAGGAGCTGGGGGGAAATTCTTGCAAAAGTCTTTCTTAGCAGCTTAGCTTTCTACACACTAAGCCCCCTTCAGGGAAAGAAAAACTGGTGTAGTGCTCTAGTACAACAGTTCGTTTAGTGACTGTTCAAAGCCACAATGGCACTAAAAATGTGACGTACAGCTGTCTTTCATAGTTATGTTTGCAGTATCCTCATGATCACGTAACCAAAATTCAGAAGCTTGGCTCATATTTATGACACTTGCAGCCTCTTAGGGGGTCATCACGATCAAGTTTGGTGACCTTCTGACAAGCAAAGTCAATGGGGAAGCCGGATTCACTTAACAACAAAGTTACTACCTTATCAACTTGCAGTGATTCACTCAACAACTGTGGCAAGAAAAGTCATAAAACGGGGCAAAACTCACTTAAGTGTCTCACTTAACAACAGAAACATTGGACTTTATTATGGTTGTAAGCCAAGGACTAGCTGAATAAGTGTTGCTGAGCAATATTTTTGGTCTAGGGGCTTACAGTTTGTATGGTCATTGCACAGGGGCCACAGCACCAGGAAGGAGGGGGAATGTCATAATTTTTTGGGGGGAAGGTGAAATTTTAAAATTATGATGTCTGCAACATTTGGGGCATACATTTCACCTTTTAAAATCCTTTCCAGGGTCATCAGAAATATGTTACTCTGTAACTCTGTTGTTACCCCCTCCTAACCACGATGGTAATTTTTAAAAGTGTGTAAATTGGGGATTAAATTGGGAATTCCCAAAATTCCCAAACGTGCTTTACAGTATCGTAAAGAGACTTTACATGCTCTTCCATTATTTTATTATATTTTCTTTGTTTTGCTTGGTACATGAGAATGATGGCCCTTGAATTTCCCTTACAGAAGTCTATCATTTGACACAAATGGACATAATATTAGAACAAATAATAATTAACTAATGTAGAAGACTCAAGCATTCCCCAAAAAATTGAATCTGGGGCTACAAAGCTTGGGATAAAAGCTCTGTTGGGCAAGATATAGTGTGCTACTATTCATCCACCACTATTATCTGGCAGACTACAGAAACCATTTTCCTTTGTTACAGTTACACCCAATTACTGTCCTGTACAGCTGTTGTCTCTTTTGTACATTCTTGGCTACAAATCATACTTTGACTATTATCATCAAGTTTAACACAAGGATGTCCATGTAATCTTAAGATTATTTCTCATTTTTCCTTGAGGTAGTGGGACTTAAAACCCAAATTCTTCCAATTGACCTAGTTTTAAAATATCCCAAATATTTGCAAACCCCGATTTGAAACTTGAGTAAATAAAAATCTTTTAAAAATCATCTACCTGCTATTTTTTTGCGGCGACTGCTGATCCCCTGTTTGGTTAATATTGGTCAAAGTCACACCATCCGTTGCCTTTTTTTTCTCCCTTCTACTCAGAGAACGATTCAGATCAGCTGACCAGTCCTATTGCAAAGAACCACAAAAACGTTTGAAGAAATTTGCTACCACAGAACATCAGCCACCATGGCTTGGAGGTCTCTGTTATATTCAAAGACAACATGGTAATTTCTACACAGCTGGGACAAAATCCCTTCTTAATTCCCAGCCTGCTCTTCACTAAAGATGAATGTCCTCTACTGTGAGAGAGATCCTAAAGAGAAGCAATTTATTAACATTAGAAGGCAACAAAACGAGTTTGAAATATTACGCTTGGGTCAAAATTACATCCACCCAGTAGGAAAGATCCTGTTTGCTAGGATTATCACAGACGAAAGATGTAACATATTTTGCCTCTTTAAGAAGTAGTTAAATTAAAGTACTCATCTCAATTGTGCCTGTTTTCAGTTTCCACATTTCTAGCCTACTGAAATTAATGGTTTGTCAACTGAGACACATTATATTAAGGATCCATGTCTATGGTTTAGAACGGGGGTGTCAGGGACGTGCAGTCACTAGAGGCAGGGGAGGCGTGGCCTCACCAGCCATGAGGAAAAGGAAAGAATTTTAAAGAATTTTTTAAAAATAATTTAAAAGGCCAAGGTAGTTGCTGCCAGACTCCAAGTCACAGTGGCTTTGTGGCGCCCTCAGTGGCAGCGGGGCACTTTGCGTCACAGGAACTTCATTGGCCGCTGCTGCTTCCTCCGCTGCCGCCGCTTTCCCCTCTGCCCTGGCCGCAG